ATATAATTAGCCACAAAAGTATATGATTACAATCAAGAAGGATAAAACAAAAATGAGAAATAACAAGAAAAATGAATAAAAAGAGGAAGAGAGTATGGTAAAAAAATATGGATGGATTTCGAGTTGGAAATTGGGCAAATGGCAGGAAGAAGGAGGAGTTGCACGACTATACCGTCGAATTACGTGGATACGGCAAATTCAAAAATATCGAGAACCATCCGAAAAGCACTCTCTAACGAGAAATAAAATAAGAAATGGAGGAAATGGCGTGGTAAAAATCCTAAATGGTGATCAATGCAAAAGAAAAACAGATACAAAATGTACTACGCAAGATTAAATGTATACTAGCGTTACGAAGATAAAATATTTCGCTAATAGAGCAAGAAGCACGATCACAGTGAAAAACAGAAAAATTGGAACGAAAGAAAGAATGAAATAAAGAGAATGATAAAAATCGAAAGTCCGCGAGACGATATTTTGTTGAGATTTTGAAAATCAGAGCGAGTAAACAAAATGAAAATTCCAATTATTATTACAATTATCAAGATCCTAATAGTACATACGTATAGATATAAATCAAATGCATATACAATTACGTAACATAATTCATAATTAATACAAATCACGTATTACATTTAGTCGAAAACTATTCGTATTTAATCCGGCTGATAATTTTGTTTGCGGCAAGAAAAAAGGAAACGTTTCCTTTCTTTTCTCTTTTTTTTGCAATATTTTAAACAAATATCGAAGGAGAGATAAATATAAATAATTCGATTATATATCATAACGTTTTTATGCTTCGATTTAAATTAAAAAGCATTGAACCAACTAATAATTTAACAAATTTTTCGATACGAATCATTAGATCTATATCTATGATCTATAAGATTTGTTGTTATTGCGGATGTTATATGTGTATCCGATCAGAAATTCAATCCAACTTTGACAAGTTTGAATAAATCTCACCAAATATATTATATATTTTATGGAAATGCTCAAGTGTGATCACTAGGATATACACACATATTTTTTTATAATTTAGCATTCACGAATATTTATCCAATTAAGTTCTCGAATATTATTGGAGCTCGAACTTTTGAAATCTTAAATAATGGAAATTGAAGCAAAATTAATCGTATATCGAAATTATCTCGTATAGCTTTTTAAAATTTAGTATTTTCTTGAAATTATTTACAACGAAGATATTTAAATAATTGTTTTAAAAAAAAATTATTCACAAAAAAAAATAATTTTCCATAAAATAATATATTTGAATCATATTGGATCGATATTCAAACTTGGAATATTATTTATAATATTTTTTTCTATATCGTTTAAAAATTTCTTTTTATATTTTTTGATATAAATTAATGTAATAAATCGTCGTATAAAATAATATATAAATATCCGACAAAGAGATTCTCGTATAACAGCTAATTAAATATCAAATTTAAAAATTCAAAATCTCGAAATTATGTCATATATATAATTGTGCATAGAAAAAAAAATTGCTAAATAATTTTTCTTTAAAATAAATACTATTTCTTAAATCGTATTATTTCATTTTTCTTCTTTAAAAATTCAAACAAATTTTCTATTTTCAACATTATACTTGCTAAAAGATTATCGATCGTGAGCGTATATTTGGTACAGTAGCAGTCATGAAATTATCTTATGAAAATGCAAATTTATGGTTGGAATAATCATCGAAATTTGTAAAGCGTTTTCAAATGGTGTTGAACACGAATCATATATTTGTTTTAAAATCCGTAGCGCATAATAATATTATCGATTTAATTTTAAAATTTTAAAATTAAATTCGAAAATAAAAGTCGATGAAAGGAAAAATCTTTCCTAAAAATTATTTGATATTACACAAATATATAATTTTTTCTTGATCGAAGATAGCAATTTAGATATAACAAGATAACAATTTAAATGAATTAAATGGAATGGACATTTGCGATGAACGGAGACACATCATGTAGAGAAATTATATTTTGTAAAAAAAAAAAGATTTTCAAGATCTTTTGTCGATGTTTACCTGATCAACAAGAAGGTCGTTGTTTTCGTCCAGCTTCGTGTCACCGATATATCCTATCTATTTTTCTTATTTATATTTCCATCGTTCGTAATTTCACACTTCATAATTCACTATACACCACAAATTTCTATTTCGTTCGTTTTGTTACGAAATTGTCGCGAAATTTAAAAGAAATTTTACTTCGCTTTATCGTTATTATCGAAATGATCAAAAACTCATGTCTCGAGACTCGATTACAATAGTTGCGATATGGATTATTGTAAATTTATAGCCTTCGGGATATTGTTGTTACTACACTATTGTTGCACAACATCGAATTTTATCTTCTTTTTCAACTTCAACGACACCACGTATCATTTCTATGAAAAATAATACATATCCATCGAGAACTATTCGGAAACATAATCTTTTAACCGTAATAATTAAACCGTACGCGATATTAACCGTACTCAGTTAATCATTTGATCACGATCAACACGAATTCGATAGAGGGAATTGGATGAAAGCGAAACAAGGATTGGGCGTTGACGACACGTAAACGTACAAGGTTTTATTAACGCTCCCGTTAGTTTATTCGACGCACTAGTTTGTTTTCACCATTCAAAAGTATCGTATATTTGCCGATCGATCAGAGAAATCGATTTATCGAACGGATCGAGAGGAACGTCGCGTCGAGGATACGCGTCGTGGCGAACTAACCGAGAAGAGGCCTCTGAAAGAATGGAAACCTTGCCGCGCGGCTTTCGCTTGAATCAACACAAAGCCAGCTGATTGGTAGGTTGATCGCGAGCCGAGGATCTTCCGGCCTTTTCATAGAACCTCTCCGTTCTACGTTCTTAACCAATGTAAACACACCTGTCGGATTTGCCACGGTATTGTTATCACGTTAATTACGTTCAATATATTTTCTAAAATATATTTAATTATTATTTTCGTTTCAATTTTTACTTTTTATCGAAGCTACGAATAAAAAGCAGATACAGACTTTTGAGATTTTATTTACGATCGCTTTTTTTATTTCCCCGCGAATCATCAAGCAATCTTCGATTCTTTTTTTTTTTAAGATAAACACGAAAGATAAAGACGAAAGATAAAAATCATCTTCCATCCTCGCAACCTTATTTATCCCCTCCGTTGTCCTATCCAATTCTCCGGCGGCGGAGAAAAATGCAAAGTGGTCGATTAATTGGTCGCAGGTATTGTATCGAGGAAGATGGTTAACGCGAGGGTTGGCGAAGGGACAAGGGGAGGATTGGTTGCGCGCATGTGCGCGTTCGAGCTGAGCACTTGTTACCGCTGGCTCAGTCTCGGCTTGTCTGGGCTGAAGGCAACACGGAATTCGTGACGAAAATCATCAACCCCTTCGAAAATCCCCTCGATCCGGAGCCCCGGGAGACGTGCTAAAGATAGAAAACAGGAACCGTGTCGCGTGTGCCGTTCACCAATCGTGTTTCGACATCGTAATATTCGCAGATCTCCTCAGGTTCGAGAGACTGCGATTCGAATGAGATCTCGCCGCTTTCGTACCGAGAGGAGTCCGCGTACGCGTACTCACGAGGGACGAGAGAAATTTCGTCTGGCGCGTTACGATACTCGCCTCTCTATTCCGTGGACCGAGATGAGGAAGAGGAAACAGGGTGCAGTATCACCGACTAACAAACAGAGGAAGGACTTTGGCAGCTTGTAAATCGCGTTCGAATCGATTCGTGGTACGCGAAATATCGTATCAGGGAATCAGAGAAATCGCGTATCGCACATCAGGTGATTTATCATTCTCGTTTACCTTGTTTACTTTGTTCATTGTCATATTCGAGAGAGAAGATTGGACAAGATTTTTCTTCTTTGAAAGAGAATGGATTATTTTTCTCCTTCTCTGTTTTCTACTATGTTTCTTTTCTGCTTTCATCCTTTTCGTCTTTTGGTTTTCGATTAGTGATTAACGGAAAAGAATTATATGTAACGGATTTATATTCGTTTATGTTAAAACGTTTGACACCATATCAAACGGGAATAATTTTAAAAATGATTTACGTGGTTTCGAATAAACGAGAATTTAATTATTCTATCAAATTTTGCAATCTAATACATTTACCCGTGTTCTTCTTTGAAAAATATTTTTCGTTACGAAAAATAAAAAAATGATATTATATCGTATAAATTTGTCGTTTTATTTTGTATTCCGTTTTTCGATCAAAAGTGTCATCGAGATAAAACAAAAATATATTTTGCATTTACTTTTATCGTTTCAAAGATTTATCGCGTTATTTTTTATATCAATACACTCTTTTATAGCAATACACTCGTACGTATCCAAACATTTAGCAAATTCAGATAAATTTGGATATTATTTTTATATATGAAATGATCGGGATGATTTTGGAATGAATATTTTGAAACTAAATTGTATTTTTTAATAATTTTTTATAATTATAATTTTAACGTTGTAACGTTTTCTGTTACAAATGATTTGAATAATCTTTAAAATCGCTATATAGTATAAAGTTGAATTATATTATATAGAAAATCAAGATGTAAAAAGATAAAACAATTCAAAAGTTGGGCACCAAATTTTTATTTATAAAAATCAATATTCATTAGATCTCTGTTCATAGATTGCAATATACATTTCCATTTTTTCGTTTATATTATTCGTCTTCCCCCTCCTCCTTTCCTATTTTGAAAGAATCTATTTCGAAAATAAGAAACGAGAATCGTATTCGATGCATCGGATCATTAACCTTCAAATAATATATAAATATTATTTTTAAAGGCTATCCAATAAAATTACGCTTAAATTTTATTTGAATTATATTCGAATTTCTTTTCTTTTATATTCTCTGGCCTTTTTCAAGTCTTACGTAAATATGTATATATATATACGTATATCTCTTTAATCTTAACCTCGGGTGTTTTCTAATTATTTCTCAAAACTTTTTTTTCTTCTTTTTAATTTTCACCTACGTTATTGCCTCCACTCCGTGCCGAGTTTAACATTTTTCCATCGAGGAAAGAAAGTTTCTATTTATTCGTTTTCTTTTCGGTTTTTCCTTACAATTATTTGTCTTCGATTCAATTACGATAACAAGTCGTCCCGAACTTTGTTTAAATTTTAACAACAGAATCGTCTCTTCACACTTTTTCTTACTTTCCGTTATATACTTTTTACATTTTTCTCTCGAAATCTAATGTTTTTTCATTTTTCCTATATTCATTCAAACATTTAAATTTAAGAGATCAAAATTAAATGCCTACAACACAAAATTGTGTAGTTAGTGTTCTTAATAATTTTATAATATAATAATCTTAATAATTTTTTTTTTATAAAAAAATTATGTTTATTAAACATTTTAAATATTTTTTTTGTAATAAGAAATGATAAAATAACAAGAATAAAATTAAAAAAAATTCAAATTTATCGTTAATATTTAATATTTGATGTAATTGGTAAAAAGATCTAATGAAATTGAGAATAGAAGACGAATAAGAATTTTTTCAAATTTAATTATTTGGATTATTCGAATCGTGATTTATTTCAACATTTAATATTCTTGCTTATCCGCTATAATAATTTTTATACCGAAAAATACATCAAACGTTAGGGAACGCGTGATTCGAGTAATAAAATCAATTTAAATCTATCTTTCTTTTTATGAGTATGCATTCGTTAATAAAATACATCCATTCGAGCGTTTCCTCTTTTCCCTTCTTGTTCATCCAACAGACCACGGATAATTTCAGTATAACAATGTCCATCGTCTCTCTCTTCTCTTTCTTTGCCAACGAATCGTTATCGCAAAAGTTGTTCCAATCAGAATTCTCTTATGTTTCTTCCAGTAAAAATTTTCGACACGTCTCATTTCCTCGATGAAGGTGAAAAGACGTTCTTGAAAAGGATCTTCGAGTGAATCGAGGAAATCGATCCAAATTCATCGTTATATACGAATCCGTGGCAAGATTCAAAGAAAATAAATCAATAATAAAATAAGGAAAAAGTGGTTTTCGCTAAATTTGAACACACGGATCCATTTATGAATCAAATTTTAAATCAACACGAGGACAAGTGAACTTCTTAATTTTTCACACCAATGTTTGACGTATTTTCAATCAAGTTAGCCTCTAATGGAATGGATCGAACCCATCGAAAACCCATATCTTAAATCAATTATTAAATTATTCGTATAAAATAATAATAATGAACATGATTCGAAAGTGATTGATTCCGAAAGATACGAAAATTTATTTTCATTCCACGATCTTGAATCGGTGGATCGATTAATAAAATTAATCGAATAATTTGGTGAAACGCTTCAGATGCGAGTGATTTGATCAAGCTGTGAAAGGAAAAGGAAACGATTGCCTGGTTGATCAAAATTTGTTCGTTCGTTCGTTTTCTCGGCCGGATTGATTTCTATCATGGTATAAGAAGATTCATCGTTGACGCAAGGTCGTCAAAAACGTTTTAACGCCAAGCTTAATATTTCTATAAAGGTGAATATTTTTCGTAATATTAAGTTTTGTGGATAAAAGATAAATAGCAATTGTGTTGGTGATTTTTTTTATTTTTATTCGTCGTCGAGAAGAGAAGGAAACGTAAGCCGACTCGACATGGGTTGCGAACTTGGCAAATTGGCTACACCGAATCAACCTACCACAGATCCACGACTTCCGCTTACGGCAAAACAGAAATTTACGGTTATGGCCAGCTGGAAAGCTGTATCCAGAAAATTGGAGACAACCGGTGTCTTTATGCTTATGAGGTTTGTAACGTTTTGGCGCTTTTCGTTCAACAGGCGATTATTTTATTCTTTATCTTAATATTACATTAAACAAGAAATAGTATAATATAATTTTCAAACATGATTCTCAAAATTCACGTGATATCCAAACACAAAATAAATGCGAAAATAGTTAGTTATTCGATATGTAAACACAGTTCAAATCGATATTATACAAAATCTGTAATTTTATTCACCGGTAATCACGATGATCTTGACAAGCATTGAAACTTTTATAATCGATTTCTTGGAAAATCGACATTATCAATTTGCATCGAATGTCAAGAGGCAAATTTCCAAAATCAATCGTATTTGCAATAATATTATCATCGTGACACGCGAAAATACATGTTAAATAATTAACATATTTTTAAAAAAAAAATTATTAGTAAAAGATAAATTTTAACTTTTGAACTTTATCAAATATTTGATGAGATACGACGTGTGTATTATTACGTTAGCCCATATATGCGTCACACGCTATTATACACGCGATTAGATGAGCATTTAGGCTCTTCAAGGACACCATCAACGTCAAACGCAATTTTCCAAAGGGAGAAAGAGCTCATTGATTCCTATATCGGGTCTTATACTATGGGATCTTTTACTATACATCTTTTTCCTTTTATCTTTCGTTCTAAGGAATGATTTATTATATTATATACCTGACACGATTTAACCGTCTCTTATTTTTTTTCTATCAAAATAAACCAAGTACCTACTATCGAATTCGTCGGAAATATTTTATTTGTATTTTTTATAGAACGTATAAAATAATATAAAATCAAAGTTGAAGAAAATTTCAAATAAATTAAAACGAAAATACTAGAAAACTTGCAAGATATTTCTATAAAATAATTATCAGTTCGAAATATTATTTTATTTGTTTATATGCACATATTACATTTGAAATATGAATAAAATATTTATTTTCAATCTTCGATTGAAACGCGATAATCGTTTATCGAAAATGGTATTCGTATTTGTAATTTGTTACAAATTTTTCTCAATTTTGCATTATCAAATCTGATATAAGGACTTGACATAATTTTTTAATAAGAAAACCAGATTTGGCGATGAAGAAACTTTCATCACCAATTCTCATTATTCACCGATTCGTCGGGTTTCACATGATTCGAACGATCGTCTCTCATTTTATGAAATATTTGCCATGATTGTGAATCATCTATCATTCTTTTCTTATTTCCACTTTATTCAATACCATTTTTTTTAAATATATCTATTGTCAATTGTTAAAATTAAAATACTAGAGAAACTATACGAACATATGAATAAACTATACGAATCATGGAAATTATATGATATAACATCCAAAGATTGAAATATTTAATGGAATAATTAAATATTAAGAAACAACTGAATATAAAAAATATAAATAATCTTTACTTTCACTTAAAACGTTAATAGAGCATAATATCAATTTTATCGAAATAATACAATTATAGCTATCTATTTTATAAAAAAAAAAAAATCATTATTCATATCAGAAATATATATAAAGAACAAAATTGAATCGTATAATAAATTGACTATATAAAAAGAATTAGCGAATATATATGTAAATAGGATAGATATGTGATATTATATTTATCGAATTGGAAATAAGAAATTCAATATGTACTTACTTGAGAAAGAATACAAAAGAAAAATATTCATTGACTATAATAAAATTGTCGGTCAATTTCATGAGGCCTTTGATGCTAATTAAAATCGGACAATCTCTTCTCTTCTCTGTTCCCCCCCTTCAATCCTTTCTATCCACAAATATTAGATTTCAGATTCTTCAATTTTTTTCTGTCAAACGCACGCAATTCCTCTTTATCCGTCGGTCTTCCAATGTTCGCGAAAGAACAATAGGTTTCTATACTGGCGTATAATAACCCATCGTAATTGACGTATTTACGAAGTTCCGTGTGCAATTCAAGAATAATTTTTTTTTTTTTTTCTTTTTAAGAATTCCAGATTTTTCAGACAGAATTGAACGTTATCCGAGAATTCAAATGAGAAATAATTGGCAAAAATTTATAATTTAGAAACTATAAAACTTATAATATAATTTCCACATGTTTAATTTTATACTTTATTTATTTATCGGTTGACAAGTTTATTATTATAAAAATTTACAGTATATACACAATTCTTCTTTTTTCTAATTAAATTCGTTCTAAGTCAAAACAGTTTTTAAAACAGAAAGATATAATTAGATAAAAAAGATAATTAATATAGTAAATAAAAATCAAGCATATTTTATTTTAACTATACCATTTTTTTCTACTTTTTATTTTCTTCAATTTATATTTGTAATAATAAACTCAATTGCAACAACAAAATAATAAAAAGGAAGTTAAATACAAACGAGAACACAAACGAGAAGTATATTATCTATTCTATCAAGTTTTATATTTTAAAAAAATTGCAAAACACATCAACATACTTATTCCATGATTCTCATTCATAAAAAGGGGAGCACAAAAAGTGTACGCTAAGGAATGTAGCGCAGAATGCTTCGAATTGAGAGACTAGAAGAATCAAAATACATACAACTTATCATTAGATGCGAAAAATCCGCATTGTTGTAACTCATGGGAAATCATCGCAAAGATTAGTGAATTTATCTATAATAAAAAATAATATTTTAAATCATATCATATTACAAATATGATAAAAATTCTAATAATTAGATATGAAAACCATAAAAATTAAAATCTTAAAAACTTGAAATTTAAAAATCGAAATTCTGTAATTATTCTATTTTTTGATAGAAAAATTTAAATAATAGAAAATTAAAATAGAAAAACAAACATAATTATCTGTTTGCATAATCATCTTATTCTTAAAAGAAGCACCGATTCTATTAAAACGAATATTTATATAAAAAAAAAAAAAAAAATTAGGAACTATTATATGCGTATGACCGCATAAAACAGGCACTGAGTCTAATTTCGCGTGTTTCTTATAATTAATTTTATTTAGATCTGTGGTACTCTAAGAAAAAAAAAAAAAAAACAAAAAGAAATATTATTGAGAAATAAACACCGATTCTATAGACTGCATTGTGTGCAGCCACACAATAATCTAGAAATGAAATTGTATCCGAATTAAAAATTGTTTTAATCAATTTTTTTATGAAGAGAAGAAAAAAATTCAATCACGGAAGATTAAACTTATGTTCAAACTCGTAAATATCAACCGATATTTTTAAATCTGTTCAGTACCTAATTACATTTTTTTACCAATGTTCAACAAATGATTCTATTATTCGCTACTCGTTTTCACAGTACCCTTTTGCGGGATTTTACATGCATTGACCTCTTCCTTTATTTTCTATCTTTATCTATCCTTTTATTATCGAATTATGAGATTCCTGATATTGATGCACTCTCGGCGTAATTAGAGCGTACAGGATGTTATGCCTACAAAGGGCATACCCTGAAATAATTTATCGTAGATCGAGGAGGAAATTGTGCAAATTCGATCCTCTTTTAATCAATAATCAAGTGGATATAAAAAATATTTAGAAAGAGAGAATTAAAGAGAATAAGAGAGAAATTTTTATTAAAAATTAGTAAATGTCTCTTTTGATTGTGCGCATACATACATATATGGTACGTACAATCGATCATGATCAATGATTATGTCACGTCAAAATATTGTGTACATCTATTTAAGATAGATTTTAATTATTTTATGTGGATAATTATAAGAATGGGAAGTTATTAATTTTGATTATATATATATATATATATATATATATATATATTATTATAT